AATTGCTTCCTTTTTTATTACAATTTCATCCATTTATATTACAATTTATTCAAAATACACTAACACACTGAACCAAAAACACCAATACACTAACCAAAAACATACCTACACCCTGCCAAAGACACACTTGCAGCCTACCAGAAAAAACGGTAAGAAGAAGAGTTACGTTACTTATGGAACTGTACGATGACTAGGTATAATTCCGTGTGTCGCCGGTTCAAATGCNGATTATATTAAAACAATAAGTCGGAGTATTTTCTTTCCCACATTTATACCAATTNAAGTAATTTTAATGATCATATAATTAAGTTTTTTGTGCATATTTTTGTCTTCCCTAGTGATTATATTAAAACAATAAGTCGGAGTATTTTCTTTCCCACATTTATACCAATTTAATAATATTTCAAATCAAACATCATTATCAGTGCTTAGTAACTTTTTTACTTATGTGGTTCGCACGTTTTTTTAATTAAAATATGCAATCTTTGCGATTTAAAAATCTAATTCTAAAGAATATTCTTTCCAAATGAAACCTGTTTATAATATTTTGTTCCAAATTTACTTTTAAGTTTCTCATCGGATTTTGCAAAAAATTAGGCTTTGTGGTTAGTGTATCACCATTAACTTCAACAAATTTTGAATATAAAATTTCCAATGTGTGCAAAAAAACTCGGCTTTCAAAGACCGCCCTCCGATAATCAATTAACATAAGTATACATTTGGTAACTTTCTTCATGCGTTGTGAAATCTAGTTTCGTCAACCCCATATTCGCAATTATGTAGCTGGCAAAATTTTCAAGTCCATCATATTCCAAATTGTTGAGTGGACCGAGGAAATCTGCTTTGGAAAAAAGTATTACTTCTCGTGATCAGGCAGCATGAATTTGATGAAATGTCATAATTTTATTAAAAGTCAAATGGTTAACAACTGCAACGAATGTCATTAAATGAAACTACCTTCTTTTTTGTATCACGATACATCATGAATTTGAAAAAGTAACTTCTGCAATCTAAATACTTTGTAATTTTTGAAATATGTTTTATTCAATATGTAAAACAATAGTAAAATTCTGCAACCTATTTTTCTTATTATTTATTTCAATACATTAACTTTTACCAGAATGAGTCTTTAATCAAATAATCCTTTAGAAATGGACGTGCCAATTTTAGAACCGAGGTTCAAAAATTTGGTTTTTATAGAGAATTAATCAGGGATTACGATGGTATGACTTTAAATCCCTAATTTATTGGTCTCCACTATGTAAATCAGGGTAAAGTGCAATAAGGTCCGCTGAAATAACGCCCATGGTCTTTATTTCCTAAAAAAAGAGAAATAAATCCCATGGCCGTTATTTCCATTTCAAAGAGGAAACAGCGCCCACCAATAAAAGGCACTGGTTTAAAGTCTATGAACTTTCGCCTTCAATACACAGAAAAGCCTTGTTAACTTAATAGAAAAAATATTGTATCAGAGATAGTCGAATTGCGGCTGTGTTTAAAGCCATAGAGACGACCGTAAGGACATGTGCAACGCAAGAAAAGTGAAAACCGCAGATCTGGAGCTGGCTGCTATAAGTACTCTTTATATCTGTGGTCACCAGCAATAACCACCTAAGTCGACTTAAGAAAGAACGGAGTTATATATGCTATCGTATTCTTAAACTCCTATTCCTTGCGTACTTGAAATCCCCATCTCGCCAGCTAGGCTACTTAAAAAGTTATAGGCAAAAATTTTTTGGTTTCCCCATAAGACTAACGTTACGAGAAAAGTATAAAACGTTATTTCTCGAATTCAGGTGTTTTGACTGGTGACAGGTAATAAGATCAACGGAAATAAGGTCAATTGACTTTATTTCCCACCCTGGTGCGAAATAAAGTCAATTGACATTATTACCTTTTTAAGAGCGAAATAAAATCCATTGACATTATTACTCTTTCAAATATTAAATTTGCTTAGCTTCGCCGCGGCCCCCCCTTCCCCGTCTCCCGCCGTGCTGTAACGCAGGTAGATTTATTTTTTGTATACGTTAAATAATATTTTTATATATTTTAAACATCGAGAGCTTATATTCAATAATACCCTCTATCTGCACACTTTTCGAAAAGATGAGGTTCTGATATAAAAATCCGCCTAAACTTTAACTGTCATCAGTGATATTAATGATATAACGACAGGTAATAAGTCCCAGATGGTTTCTAAAATCACAAATTAGTTTTTGTGCAAATTGCAGATAGAGGGTATTAATGAATTCAAGCCCTCGATATTTCATATTTTTATATTTGTAAGTTAATGGAAGCAGGGATGCCAACTTGGCTCAAACCGTGCCATTTGTCCCTATTTTACTTCAAATGGCACTTAATTTTTCAATTTGGCACAAAGTGCCAAAATAGCACTTTTGTAAAACAAATAACATTTCAATACATTTTTGTGAAATCCTTTGCGTGCACTTCTTTTTCTCAACTAAAATTTTCTAATTTATAAAGGCTATTCATCTGGTTTATCTTATTTTATCATTGCACTTTTGTTTTGAAAAGGTGGTTTTATTTTATTGCTAAATGTGAATGATTAAAAGGAATGGCACCCTTTTTGGCACTTTTATTTTTCTATTTGCCACATTTTGGATCTTTTTTATCCTCAATATGGCACCTCATAACTAAAGATAGTTGGCAACCCTGATTGAAAGATTTCTGCTGTCTTTTGGCAACAACTTGTCTGCAGTAAAAAAGCATACAATTTGTGTTTCTAAAGTGTGTGAAAACCAATCAATTAATTTACATGATTTCGGTTCCGATATTAAAAAATCAATAATTGTTTATACCCNTATTTAAATGATTTCGGTTCCGATATTAAAAAATCAATAATTGTTTATACCCGCATTTTGGCACATTGGCTTGAATGTGCCATCTAATAAATAGTGTCGTTGTTCGCCTTGCTTTTAAATGATGTCACAAATTGCTGGCGGAGACATGAATACAGTGTAAGAAAATTCCTTTTCTATAATTGTTTCCTTATAGAAAGGTTGGTTTCTTTTCCACCTTAGACATTCCGAATTCGTTCAAAATATGCTAATTTAAAACACAGAATTCGTTCAGTGTTACTCCGGAGTTTTTGGACATGGACTGTTTCTTCGATTTAATAGTGTTCGCTTTATTTCTGTGGAAACGAAACATGTTTTGCAAGTTCTGGATCATTTCTACACTCTTTTTTCAAATATTTATCATATCCCAGCTGTGCTTTGCATTTAGTTTTTCGCATCGTGTTTTTACATATTCGTAATTTAAATTTTTTTAATAAAATCAATTGGTGGTAGTTCTTGATTGTGTGTGGATTAATATCACCACACTGAGGATTTGGCAATAACCTTTGTCATCTATTAAAAAACAACACTTACGGGGCAATGTTTATTGTAAGAACAACATTTTTTCTATGAATCGCCATACTTTAAGCATTGTTGACGCTATTTCCATTTGAATGAGGAAATAGCGCCAATGACTTTATTTCCAAACTTTTGTTGACTTTATTTCGCTTTTGAAAAGGTAATAATGTCAATTGACTTTATTTCGCACCGGGGTGGGAAATAAAGTCAATTGAACTTATTTCCGTTGATCTTGTTACCTGTCACCGTTTTGACTTAGGCGGTTATTGGTTATGACCACAGATATATCGAGGGCTTATATTCAATACCCTCTATCTGCAAATTTCACAAGAACTACTTCGTTGTGCTAGAACCCATCTGTGACTTACCTGCAGTGTTGCCAGGACTTCAAAAATAAAAAAGCTAGATCGGCCAAATAAAAAAGCTAAAAAAAAGCTAAATGGCTCCAAAAAGAAAGGTTAAAAAAGGCCAGCCCTTTCAACATTTCATTAACTCTTATGTATAAAGAGGTTGTACAAATGTACCACCGAGCAGCAAAAATGTAAATATCTCGACAAAGTACTGACGATCATGAAATTTTATGAAAGCCTTGTACAAACATTTTTGAACACCATACCGTTTAACAAAACCATCTTAATAATAAAGAGGACTCTTTTTAGAGTCTGAAAACCCATAGTACTTAAAGACAAAGTAGTGTACCACCAAATATCTTCATACATTACTATACTATAACAATCGTGGATGTTTCAATTCGAGCGCGCATTGTTAAGAATTGAGCGAATTTGGTGCGATGTGGCATCAACGGCCTGTGAAATGTAATGGTGTTCGTTGGGGAGGCGTTGAGCTGTGTATGTGTATGCACACATACATATACGCGTGTTTATGCGCTTTTGAATAGTTTCAGCGGGGCACGAAATATAAGCTGGAGGCGCGTCTGTGACAACAACTATATTAATGGCAACCGACCTCTTTTGAAACATTGCAGCTCGGAGGGGATTTCGTTTGATCATCTTTAAGAATAGTAGGGACAGATGATGTCAGAATTGTTGCGAGAAGAAAAAATTATTATTCCTTGAAAATGGTAAAGTTGAAAAGAGCAAAGAGAATGGAATTCTATAGAATTTGTGAAAGGATTATGTAAAAGAAAGAGGATGAGAAAAGTATGCCATGCGTATACATACATATATTTGCGTATATGTGTATGTGCACGTACTATGTGTTACAGTCCACTAGACGGTATTTATTTCTCTTGAGATAGATATGTATGTATGTGCTTGGTGTGACGACAGATAGTTGCCCCTTTTAAGAGATACAGAGAAATTGCCAAAAGTACATACACACGGCAATACGACGGCGTCAAGCGACAAGAAAAATAACGGATGTTCTGGAATTGAAATCCATTTGGATGATATTCTAGATTGCTTGCATATAAGATAGAGCGAAAAGGTATCAGAATGAAAGAATAGCAGTCGTATCGTGATAGATTCTGGCGTCGTCTAAGAAGCGTTGATGATGAAATTATTTGGTAAATCGTGAAAAGGATAGTTTGTGACAAGAACATAACGCGCTAAAATTTTGAGAAATATTTACTAGTGAATAGAGAAAATCTTTATTGTTATTTTGACGAGAGATTGTTGAAAGACAGTGAGTCCATCTACTCTACTTTTTGTAGAAGTACAGAAAAGTGTATAAAGATTAGAAATGGGAAAATTAACATATTCTTTTAATTGTATAGACAGCAGAATGGGAGGACAAGATCTTTTGGACAGTTTATGCAAGTCAATTTCGCGCATCATGGAATACTGCCAACATGCCGAGTTCAAAAACGCAACGCTGGAGCAAGGGAAAGTTCGCGCTGAGAAGCCGGAAGCTTATTATGCACGATTTGTAGATGAACATGAGAAGCAGTTGGATCACGATGCTACACAAGCAAGTACATATGACGAAATCGCAGCTTTAGTGGAGTCGCGCTATTTTACGGCACAAGCCCTGTTGGCTGTTAAGATCAAGGAGCTCACACCTGTGTCAGCGCCAATTCTGCATGAGCAGCAGCCCTTCGCGGTCCAGGTAAACATACCATATCAACAGCATGACTTAAAAAATACCTGGGGTAATTTTGACGGAACATTAACTATGTGGCCTGGGTTCCGTGACCGGTTTTCTGCTGCCATACATGAAAATAAGAATGCCATACATGAAAATAAGAATAGCCTTTAAATTGTCTTACTTAAAAAAGTCGCTCATTGGTAGAGCTGCACAAATACTAGGTGAATGGTAACTTACAGATGATAATTATATAAAGGCATGGGAGCGGCTCAAGCAGCTGTATGACCGCAAATATCCAATTTGTCGCGAACATTTATGGCAGTTTATTCGTTTGCCAGTTATAGGAGGGTTCCCATGGGCTCATGGGCTTCAGCGAATGTGCAATGTGACACATGAAGTGTTACGACAGCTCCGAGCTCAAGGAATTCCGGTCGATGCTTGGGATATGATTATAGTTCATATGCTGCATGAAAGGTTAGATCCTGATACGAGTAAGCAGTGGGAGCTGCAACGAGAGACAGAAACAGCGACTGTTAAACAAATGCTAGATTTCTTGGATCGTCAAGCAGCTGCCTTAGTTAATGTAATGTATTTCCAATGCGTTTTGCTTGACAAGTAGATTGCGACTGCATTATTATTCTCTTCGTTAACAATGCATTCTTAAGGCTAATTCACAGGAGTATAGTTATATACCGCTTACCACTAGAGGGTGTATTAGTATGCCGATTACCACTAGAGAAGGAAATAGTACTTCAATGCTTTTTTAACCCGCTTAGGCCCACTACTCTAAAACTCCTCCCCACAAGTTTAAAAACCGGCCTCATTAATAGAAATTTCATTTAAAAATTCACTTTTATATTTTACGCTAAGTATTTTGGATCCATATGTAAAGGTGTATCTTAATCTAATAGTATTTTGCTTATCAATTCACTTCAAACTATTTTCTTTTTAAATGTGTAATAAATAGGTGCACATTATTCTTTGTAATTAATACGCTGATGTTTACGCAAACTTCTACCCTTTTGAGCCGTTGCCAGATCATGCGCCTCTCCTTCCTCACCAACAGTCGAAGTGTTTGAGACCTGATGAGTTTCTCTTTCTCTCACACTAGATGCAACTGCAAGCGGTAATTTGTTTCCGACCGCAGTTTTCACTACGCTCTGATTATTTTCGCTTTCCCCGCCAGGAATCATCTGATCTATGTGTCGCTTAATACTTTTGTTGTTGTGCGCTAAAATATAATGATAAGACCGAGGACCCATGCGTTTAGCAACTGTAGCCTGCCGCCAGTCAATCTTATTCGGACTAGAATAATCGCGAACGTACGCCTTCGCCCCGTTATCAAAACGCACCTCCCTCTTACCCTTTCGGTTTTTAATATTTAATTGTTGGCTTTCGCAAATCTTTTCTTTGACTAGCGGCGGTTTAAGCAAAGACAACCTACTTTTCAATTCCCGTCCTAGTAGTAATTTCGCCGGGGATTCACCTGTAGAGCAATGCTTAGTACAGCGATAGTCAAATAAAAATGTATGATCGCAGTTCGATATTAGCTGTTCTATGCCGCGATCCAAATTCGGCCACCAAACAAATGATCTCGCCAACACTTTAGTTTTAACAATTCCAAAGCGCGAACGGTGCAGCTGTTGCAGATGTACGTAATTTACGACCACAAGACGGCAAGGCAGTTTATAACAATGACCGAAGCACAGGTAGTAAACGTCAACGTATAACGAAAGGTGAAAATTCGAACCAAAGCAGTTTGTTAGGTAAGAGATCATTTCCATGTGTCGCCTGTAGTGGTGATCATCCACTATGGATATGCGATGATTTTGTTGCGCTCAACTTAAGATCTCGTGAGGACTTGTAAGAAGAAACAATATCTGCCAGAATTGTTTCAAGAAAGGGCACGGAGCTGGTAATTGTTTTCAGAATGGGTGTTCTCGTTGTCCAGGGCAGATTAAACATAAGATCTTGCTTTGTCCAATGAGGGAAGTGTCAAAACAAGCACTAGCGGTTAAGGTTGAAGATAGTCATCGCAGAAGTAAGGTCAAGGGCGAATTCGGAGCTCAAAGCGCCAAACGGCATCGTAGTTCGGAAGTTGGGTATGCTCACCCTGTACAATCAAATATCGCAGATGAACTTGATACCATTAATGAAGAGATAAAGAAAGTCGACATCTAAATGAGTTTACTAGACAAACAACAACAATTATTAAAAAAACGTAAATAACCTCCAGTGTAAACTATTCTACGTCTTTTGATTTTAAGTTGGATTCGTGGCCTGCTTTGTTGCCCACTGTATCTATAAGACTAGAAGCAAATGGTCAGATTTTCGGGCCAGTTCGAGCGCTGCTAGATTGTGGCGTACAGCCAAACTTTGTTGCTGCTTGTCTCTGTGACAGATACCAGTTTCCGATCTTGCCAGCATCGCGCAAGATGGTCGCTATAGAGGGGAAATCGTTTCGTGTCAATCGACGCACAGTTCTTAAGATAAGACCATGGTTCCAATCAGATGGATACATAGAGGAATAATTTTGGGTTCTACCTAAGGAAAACAATTGGCAACCAATGCTACCAAATGCTGATTGCGAGTTGAAACCAGTGACAGCTACATTTGCTGCACCACTCGCTGATCCAGAATATTTGGCACCCGGCATAGTGCAAGTGGTGCTCAATGTCAAAATGTTTGCAAAGATTTTGATCGCCGTGCATTCACATGACTCTAATGGCATGATTTACCTCGAGACACATTTGGGTATGGTAGTCTGTGGAGCGCATGAGAGGCGAAGCGGTATTGAAACACGGGATATGATTTCATATACATGTTGCACAAGTGTTGAAGAACTGGGTGAGTTGATCAGGTGATTCTGGCAGCTTGATCAAGTAGCCACGTTCTCAAAGCGAACTGAAGAAGAAGAAAGGGTGGAAAAGATATTTATGGAAACATATACAAGAGATGCTACGGGCAGGTTTGCTGTTACGATTCCATTGAGAGAGAACATTGGCGGCATTGGTAGTTCAAAAGAAATAGCTTTGCGTCAATTTACGTTATTAGAGAGAAGATTAGACAAAGATCCTGAGCTAAAGAAACAATATACTGACTTTATGAAAGAATACGAGCGGCTGGGACATATGGAGCTGGTGTCGAGGACAGCTGAACCAGGAGAACTGGTTTATTACATTCCGCATCACTCTGTGACGAAAAAATTCAGAGTAGTGTTCGATGCTAGCTGCCGCACAGATAGGGGTATTTCTGTCAATGAAGTACAACTGCTAGGTGAGAAGTTGCAACGAGATTTCGTAGGCATAAAATTGGTATCATAGGCGACATAAAAATTATGTTCCGCCAAGTGCGAATAGTCCAAAGGCAATGGAATTTGCAGCGAATCTTTTGGAGAGATAGTACAAACGATCCAATAGGAGAATATTGGTTGAAGGTCGTAACATACGGTATGACATCATCAGCATTTAATGCTGTTCGAGCAGCGATACTGTGTGCGAGGGATGCGGCAAAGGACCACTCAGACGCCTCTAAAGTCATTGAGAATGATTTATATATGGACGATTGCGCCACCGGATCCAGGAATGAAAGCGAGGCGATAAGATTTGCAAAGGACATTGATCATATTCTAAAAGGTGGTGGTTTCGAAATGAAGAAGTGGAAATCGAATTCAAAAATTCTCGTAGAGGAAATGAGATCAGAAGAAGAAGAACCATTGTTCATGTTTGTGGATGAAGAGAAAGCATCGGTCTTAGGTTTGAGATGGAAGGTCAACCAGGATCAGTTTACCTTTATGGTCAAGACTCCAGAGCTAGAAGGTGTGATCACCAAGAGAAAGATTTTAGGCTGTGTAGCTCAGCTCTATGACCCGAATGGTTTCATTTCCCCTGTAACTATTTTAGGCAAGATTATTATACAGGATTTGTGGCGTATTGGTTTAGATTGGGACGAGCCTGTACCTGAAGAAATATCAATAAGGTTTAAAAATTATTGGCAGGACATCGGACGTCTTGAAGAATTTACGCTGGACAGATGGATTGCTACAGACATAGATAAGGAAACTGAAACACATGGATTTTCTGATGCATCAACGATGGCATACGGTGCTGTAATCTACATACGAGTTGTGCAAGAAAATGGACAGGTGAAAATTACATTACTAACATCAAAAACACGTGTTGCACCAATGAAAACAATTACGGTGCCGAGACTGGAATTAGCGGCGGCAGAATTATTATCACGTTTGCTTGTTTATGTAATAAAAGAAATGGAATTTACTAAAGTTGACTACACTTTGTGGACAGACTCGCAGGTGGTGCTACATTGGATAAAAAAGATACCGCGAAACCTGAAGACGTTTGTGGCTAATAAGGTAGCATCGATACAAACAAACACTGATGTGAAGAAATGGAGATATGTTAACACGAAGGATAATCCTGCTGATTTACTAAGCCGTGGCATGAGTCCGTCAGAAAACATACATAACCATTTATGGCTGCAAGGTCCGGACTGGTTATCACTAACTCCGCAGTGTGTGTTTCTGCCAAACACAGTGGGGGAGGCTGAAGTTGAAGTTAGAGCCTTTGCGGTGACAGAGTTTGTGGAACCAATCCGGATTACAACGCGTGCAAACATATATAGAGTTCCTTTAATTGAATACGTCGACAAATTAAACAGGGCGATAGATATTGTAGCGTATCTGTTTAAATTCATATCAAATTTGAAAGTCCATTTAGCAGTTAGGCGATCTAAGAGAAGAGAAACTTTGCACATAGTGCCAGACAGTGTTGCCAGAACTTTTTGGGCCGACCGGCTAGATTGGCAAAAAAAAGCGGCTAAAAACGGCTAAAATATTTTAGTGAAATTTCACATAGACTCTGGCAAAAAACGGCTAAAATGTTTTAGTGAAAATCCACATGCTTTATTTAAATAAATCGCAAGAAACGAAAGACTAGTTAACACCATTAATTTATATCGAGTGTATATTCCT